TCTTTCGCCCTTTGCGTCAAACAACGGTTTAGTAATTCCGAAGCATAGGTGTGCCTTGAAGTCGTTAAAAGTATTTAGTGGAACATGGAAAATCAAGCTACCCTACCAAAAAGATTGTTTAACAGACGCATATGGTTCGTTGCGGAAGATCCTCGACTAACTCCGTATCGAATTTTAACTTTGCAGAGAGGCACTTGTTATACGCCAATCCTTGACGATAGTATGGGATTCCACTAAAGATATTGGATGGTGCTCTGCTAGTTACTGCCAATTTGGCGTCGTGGTTATTCAGTCAACGTTTTCTCTCAAGCCACGGCACATGGGAAGATTGAAGTAGGCCGTTAACGCTACGAGGACCAACGTAGTTTTGCGTGATATATAAAGGCGAGTCGACTCTTGATTACTAGTAATTATACAAGCGTTGAGCGTTTTGATGTCTGCTAGAGGAATTGCGAACGGTTGAGCTCTGTAGCATGTGGTTGCTTAATTGATTGCGTCTTCACACACAGCACTTCTCGCTCAAGAGGTGGGTACCGAATACACTGCAAAGATGCAATTTTGTTCATCACCGTTGGCCTTTAAAAGGGAATATGCGAGTCCCAGGAAGTAATTGAGGCAAAAGTAGCTTATGTAGTCCACCTCATTAATCCCTACTCACAACACATTGCCCTACGAAAACGGTGGTTATAGGGTTCATGGGGATGGTCCGCCAGGCCAGGTGTCGAAACGAAAACTGCGCAGTTTCAGCCGAGACTCATGCAAAATGCCGAAACTAGCAAAATATTAAAATTTTATTCGCAAACCGGGACTAACCCATGTAAGAAAATTTCGAAAAATATATAAACAACCTTATGGGAATCCACAAATCGAAGTAAAAATAAAAAAATGGGCTGGTTTTTTGTTAGGGAAGCTTGCTGTTCCAAAAAACTGAAAATAAGTAAACATATAATCAATAAATGTGATCTCCGGAAACAAGTGTAAACTTCACACTTGCTATATGGTAAAAGTTTGTTTTCTTTTGCCGTATATCTCAATAGATACTTCAGGTACTGGCTTACAAATCGATTTTGGTATATTTAAAATTCCGGCGAGTTTTTACCTGTTTTTAACGCTGTCAAGCATTCTTCCATACCTTCTATGCATGTAGGCTCCCTTCTAAGATGGCAAAAAACAGGAGTTGAATAAGTGCGTAGATTTTGCGGGAAATTATAATCTTCGTTTTAAATTTACGGAGAAAACCCCATGAAATTTGACGTATTGTCATGTATATTCAATCACCTGCCAGGTCAATCTCGGCAAACCTATAAGAGAACAGAAGGATTACAGCGTTTGTAGGTAACTTGATACATCACTTTTGCGACCTTTTTAGTCCGACCATCAGTCTGGTCTTACTGAATAAGCATGCACAGTCACCAATGGCGCAGATGGTTTACCACTGGGGTCTGCCAGGTGGATCATAAGCACATCATCGAACCGAAGTTCATCAATGCCTCGTCACCTGTTACTTGTCGTCACTCCAGACCAGGCACATATTCACTCAGGAATGTCCGAACACCGATCTAATTGGCTTCCGAACTAAACAAATTTCCCATGGTGGCTAATGGTACCGAAACGGGTGACCATCTGCCAGGCCAATGTCAGCCAACCAATAACAGCGCAGAGGGAGGAAAAATAGCTACAGAACTGTTTTAGCCTTCTTGACTCTTATTCAGTCAAGCATAACCTTGACCATCAGCTGGAGCCGAAACGCAAACAATGCGCACACAGATGGTGCATATGCTCCACCACTTGGGTCTATCAGATGCGTCATAAGCACTTAACCGAATCGCAGTTCATCAGTGCCTCGCCCCATGTCATTAACTGCCACTGCAGATCGGGTATATTTTCAGTCAGGAATGTGCGAACACCGATCTATTCGCCATAAAGTCGGCTTCCCGAAGTAATCAAACTTTGTGTGGGTGGTCAAGGGTACCGTACAGGTGACCGCCTACCAAGCCGGATGCCGGCCAAGTCAAAATAGCAGAGAGTGATGACAGCGCTGTGACTTCATGGTGGCAAATCAAATCGAAGTAGGAATATTACCTGACGTATTAAGGGAACTATTACTCAAATGCACATTGAATGTGCAATTCCTATACCAACTAAACAGACAAATAGACGGCATCGCTATGGGCTCGCCTCTTGGGCCTCTCTTGGCTAACATCTTCATGGGCAAGCTGGAAAAATTTCAACTCAGCAAGCAGATCCATGAGTTAAAGCACTATGGCCGATATGTCGATGACATCTTCGCCATCGCCCCAGCACAAACCGACGTAAATACGCTTCTAAATACTGTTAATCAAGCACACCCCTCCATTAAGTTCACCTTGGAGGTGGAGACGGCAGGTTTTATTCCTTTTTTGGATGTCCTCCTAAGTCGAAGACCTGACGGTAGCATACGAAGGACCGTTTACCGAAAGAAAACCTGTTCAACCGTCTCTACACGCATTCACAAACACCAACTGACATTAAAAAGACGTGACTCTTTATCCGAAGTGGCTATGCATAGCCTTGATATAGGACACAGATTCGCGTGGGACAAAACGCGCATCGTCGGAGTTTGTCCTTCCAGAAGAGACCGCTAATTTCTTGAGGCCATGCAATCTGACGATTCTCACATCAACCGGCACATAGAGTAAGATGGAATTAATAAGTATCTCAAAGAACGATAGAAGATACGGGGGCCGCACAGTACAGACTGACAGAAACTCCAGCTACCAATCAGCTCCCACTCCACATAATTGTTGATTTTCTCTGCACGTTTGAAATGCTAATTGTTAGTTTGCAAATTGTCGCTAGTGCGAAGACGAACGGGGGGATTCAGTCTCGCAAATTCACTGATTAAATTCACCTTTTTTGTCCCAAAGAACACATTCTCTTCAAATAGTATTTTCTGTACAAATGTAATGGAGAATAGGGTGGAGAAAGTTGGCAGCTGGACGAGCAAGCGTCCGCAGCCGCGAGGGTGGCGTCCGAAGAGTGAGAGCGCGTTGGTGGACACTGGTGCGCAAGTGCAAGAGGTTGAGCGCGCTGTACTTGGAGTGGGGCCACTATAAATCTCCATTTTAACTACATTTTTCTTCTGTCGCTCAAGAGTGGCCCTTTATCAAAGGAGGGTTTATCTATCCTTTTACACAGGCAGCCGAACTGCTCTTCTCTCATCCCGCATCTACGTGGGTGCGTGAGTCCTTCCTGGTGAAGCGCATTTACCCGCAGGTGCCCCCAGGTCTGGCACGAGCCGCGACGAACAACCTGCGTCAGTCCCTGTTCTGGCTCAGTTCACACCACAGCTCGCGTGACGGCACCCGGCGAATCCGCGTGCGCAGTGACTCGCATGAAGACTCCACTGACCTTCAGCATCTCCGCGAGCACGTCCAGATGGCTGTCGATGAATTTTACCGGTGCTCGTCTGGTAAGGTGGCGGCAGTGGTTGCCAGAGACTGGGACTGGATGTGGTGTGAAGGCTGAGGACTGAACAGAAGCGGAGGGGTTGGGTCATTTTTATGTAATTTTGTAACTTTTTATTTCTGAACAGAAACTGACTTTGTGTTTTAAACCGAAGCATTGTCTCGGATGGCTTAGTAGCATTGGAATACTT